ACCACCAGAATGGTCTAGTTTTGTAATAGTCCACAACAGGAACGAACCTAAGTACTCGAAGAATATGAAATTGGTAACCTCTAGCCACTGTGCCACACATAACCCTCATTGTACTGACATACTTATTACCTTCAGGCTCACCTTTTTTGAATAAATGCAGTTAAAGTGATAGCTGCTTGCGATCGAAAGAGTTAAAGAGACAGGACGTATATTCATTCAGGCCTGAAATAATGATGTATTACACCCATTTCATAATTAGTTATACTATACTGATTATAGGGAGGTAATTTAATGCTTGTTTCACGACGATAGAAGCGACATTTTTTAAACTAGCTATATTTTGCCGCCTTTGAATGTTTCCCTCCATACACAGCTGCAGATCTTGTACATGCCTAAATACTGCCATATATATATGTGCGTACGTGTGTGTACATATACACATATACTTACTTGTAAAAGAAAGTTAAGACTTTAATTTTTTTTTACCAACTCCCGTAGTATGTGTCTGATTGCAACAACATTGTCTAATTTTTTAATGTCTTAGTAGGAAATGCGTTTTGATGAAATTTGCGTTTTAAACACACGCGAAGGGACACTCCCTGTGGTTTAATTTGAAAAAAAGGAAAGAAGAGGTGGGTGGGGGGGGGGGGGGGGGAAACACAGTTTAGTAACAAATGCGGTCTTGGCATTAATCACAGCCACGACGGGCTCCGGTCGTGTCACAGCTCAACAGCGGCTACTGAGTCTACTAAATTTTAGATTACCGCTTTAGGGAGATTATTCCAAGCATTGTGTGTTAATGTTTAGACTGTAACAGATCAAAACGTGGACTTGGCAGGTTTTGGATATGGCTTTCAAACATGTCCATGTATGCTCAATAGTATTATTAGTTAGTTAGTTAGTCTTTCCTCTTGTGTCGAGTGCGGCACATAGGGCAGAGGTCATGACTCTCCATGCATGGCGGTTCGTTGCAATCTGTTGTAGGTCTTGGATGTTTGAGTGGCCCACGAGCGAGCCTTCCCTGATGATAGTTCTACGTAGGGTTTCCCTTGGTCTTCCACGAGATCTTTTCCCCTGTGGTGTCCAAATGAGGGCTTGGTAAGGAAGTCTTGATTTATCCATTCTAAGGGCGTGGCCGACATAGTTCCAGCGGTATTATGGTCAGGTGAAATTGCTAGCCATGGACGAAGAACATCAATATTCTACTGCAAGATAGATGAAGTGGTACTCGTACTTGATGAGGGGCTGTGTTGACGTGCATAAAAGTACAGTCTTGTCCGTGAGTATGGATACATGGTACAACGTGTGGTATCAGGACATTGTACTGCTGCGAAGTTATATTTGTACCAGCTGTGTTGTAGAATTCTCTTTCTTTCCTCTCCATATGATAATGCTGCCCCAAACACAGTTCAAAGCCTCAAAGATTCACTTATGAGCATATTGCTAATGTGCACCTCTGTACATCCTGATTCTGCCACGATGCATTCCCATCATGCATCTCAACTCATCTGAGAAAATGACAGACTGACATCATCTTTGACGCCATCTGACGTACATATTTGTCCACTCAGGTCTTTTCTGGACGTGAGATGGCTGAAATCTAGGGTGTCGGACAGGTCGGGGTGTACGTGTTTCCTTTCCTCACACAGAGAAAAAAGTGTTCAGAGAAAAGTGTCTTATTATTTGGTAGAGCGTTTTTATGTCCTTTGAGCAGATTATAAATAGTTCCTTGAAGGAACTACTCCAATAAATCTGTCTTGTTTTCCCCATATTTTTATTTTATTTTGAAAGGTCTTGTGACGCCATTTGGCCGGAAATATTGTTGCAAGCGACAGATTGCTTATCATGTGACATGCAATGTCAGAGCAACACTTGGCTTTTCTATTTTTTTAAAAAAAAAGCCCATAATAGGATTTCTTTCGGCGTCTGTGCGTCACGGCATGATGGTAACACAGCAGGTAATTCGAATTGTGAATTTCGCGTCAGGATCCAATCTTCCCAAAAAGGAAAGTGAAAATTTCACGCTTATTAATAGGTCAAAACAAAAGAAAAAAAAAATGCATATTGAACAGTGTAAACATATTCTGGGAGCTAAATGAAATGTGAATCCTGTCCACGACTTTATAAACTTTAAGGAAGTAATATGTGAAAATATATCGAATTTAAGTTAGCTGTTTTCTAAATATAAGCTTTTACAAGAGAGAGTGTATATATATATATATATATATATATATATATATATATATATATATATATATATATATATATATATATATATATATATATACAGGGGGAGAGTCGGGGAGGAGAGAGGGAGTTGAGTTTATGTGCGTTCCGACGTTTGGTCAGTAAGTGAATAAAATTTCAAAACACATAGTTTGAAATAAAAACACTTACGCTGTGCTTTTGAAGTAGCGAAGAGAATAATAACAAGCAACAAAAGTATTCTTGACAGCGTTAAAAGGGCTGCTGTTGCCTCCATGTTCCCATGCGACTTCATTTAGGAGGTAGTTTCCGTCGCTGTTGACGGCAGACTTGGTACTGTAAAATGTAAAATTATATATATATATATATATATATATATATATATATATATATATATATATATATATCCTATTACAGAATATAAAAACACGGATGAAGAAGCAGTTCTGGAATTTTGAAGAAGGTACGGAAAGAAAATGGTCTGTAAAGATATTATAGTCTCCTATGGGTTGCTGGGTCCATTTAGAGGAAGCGAAGAAAAGACCCACTGCCCTATGACAAGCATGTCCTAAGAGTCGAATATTTAGGGCTGTTTTCAAGTAATAGTGCATCTGCATGGAAGTCTAGTATTCAGATTATACGCCCGTCTTACCTTTCCTTTAGGCCTTGAGTACAGGTTAGAATCCTTCGTCACTCCCCGTTGCATCACTCTCACTATTTGCTCCTCCGAATTGTACACGCTATGCTACAAGACCCAACCAAGTCTGCCTTATTATTCATCAGTCTTCTGAGCCAGTTACAATCACGATGTGTGTGTGTGTGTGTGTGTGTGTGTGTGTGTGTCGGGTTCTTTAACCATCGGAAAGCTGCAGTGACCGCCTCCACTTCCATTCTTAAGCAGGATGTTGTGGTATCATATGCTCTCTCCTACCTCAAACGTCGACCATTAACTTTTGTTAAGAAACCCCAAGCACTTCTTCTGCCTCTTGACACTGAACCGTTTGTGTAAATGATCAAATCCTCTAAGCGAGCATTATCTTGAATTATTTGCTGAATTTCCACCTGTGTGGCACCTTATGGCCAGTCTCTGCATTCCCAGCTCAGTGTGATTATGACCCTACACAAGTCTGACTGTTCGGGTGGCACTTTGACCAACTCCTCTCCTCGCCTAATGTTCTCAAGGATGCAAACCTGTCTGATTGTGTCTTCTGCCTGAGCTATCCATGACTTCACTCTTAGCAGGCTCTGACCCTTAACTGCGCCCAGAGCTTTATGCAAAGGGTGGTCTGTGTCTGCAGCTACCCTGATATATGACTTCTCCTGCAGTTTCTTGTGCCTACCTGCGACAGTCTGCAAACCACGATGTATCGCATAAACACCACTGGGGTGTCTCTGGTGCAACCCAGAATGACTCGCATAGCTGCGTTCTGTATGCGCTCTAGTTTGTCCATCTGACTCTTGGAGACGGTAAGCAGTCCTAGGCTATAATCAACCACTGACAGGATCAGATGCTAGTATAGTGTGAGAAGCATCCTCTCCTTTATGTCAAAGCATGCTGAGGAAGATTAGGACAGACATGCTTCTTGCAGAGTAGCATGCCTAGCTGCGGAGGACACGGGGAAGGAGTATTGTCTGGATTTTTTCACGGGGAAATGCCAGTGTGTTGGGAAATAAACAAACTGGCAGACTGGCTGGCTCTGCACAACTTGGTGGAATACTGATGCATGATAAGGCAGACGTGGTAGGTGCCTTGTAGGAGAGTGTACAGTTTGTAGGAGCAGATGGATCACCACAGTCTGGTGAGATTGATGCAGGGGGGAGTGACGAGAGGTTCTGGCAGATGCTCGAGACTCAGAGGAAAGGCAAGACGGACGTTTAATCAGAATACTACTGGCACTATTTTTATCGGAATTCTTTACTGGTTGCTGAAGAAGGGACAGAGCACTTTTGGGAATGCACCGAGTACTGTGATGTCGGTTTTTGAATCAAATCAAATTAAATCATCAGTCTTCCACAAAGTTGGGCAGAGCCAGCCGATCCTTCCGTCTGTTCATTTCCCACAACACTGGCATGACCCGAAGAAAAGATCTAGACAATGTTTCTCACCTTTTCTCAACTAAGAGAAGATGTGGTATAGTTTAGCGTCATGAACTACCCCTTTCAGCCGATATGCCATATCTATGGCTAGACCATATCTACGCCCCGGCTATATTCAGGGCCCCCAGCAAAAGACAGTGGGACTTTGAATAACGAAAAACTGCATCCAAGAAGAGTACGGCTGTATAAAAATAATGTTGTTTTAAGTGCAAAGTAGGCGAAATTCGTTATCGTAAAAACACTAACTTAAGATACTGAAATGTATCTACAGATTCTTTTTCTTCTTCAGCATTCGAACTCTTGAGGTCCATTGTTGCAGATATCGCCCGACCCCGGTCATCTCCGTTATTTATCCTCTCTTGGAACGCCAAGTGTTTGCACATCTGCCTGTATTTTATCTCTCCGTCGTTTTCTTTGTCTATGACAATTCGTCTCCCTTGTGTACACAACTGTTATCTCTCTTGCCATCTGCTATTCTCTCACTATGCCCTAGCCCTTTCAGTATATTAGCTCTAAGATACCAGTGATCAATGGTGATTTAAACAGATTGTGAATTCCGTTGTTCCTGTTTCCTCTCTATTCCATCTTCACACATTGGAGCATTAATTTGAATTAGCTATTCTTATTGTCTGGTTAATGCTAAAGCTTACAATTCCTGACTAATTTGAGACTAATCTCTCTGTCACAACACTAGTCATTCTTTTGTACGATGTAATTTTTCGTTATTTTGAAACCCCACCCTGTCTCTAGCCAGGTGCCGCATTATAGCCCGGCCACAAATATGACCTAATGTCCGAACGCTGTTTCCGGGACCTCTCCACGGGGGATCCTTATCCACATGGTGGCACTTTGTGTTATAGGGTGTTTATCGCTTGTGTGATGTCCTAGTGGGGTAAAATGTTCTACTATTTCTATGAGACTAATCAGTAAAGTACGTTAGGAGCACATCTATCAAAGAGACAGTTCAACTCACATCATAATACTATGGCATGTTTTCTATCTAAATTAAAACGCAACATTTTCATGAAGGTATTTTAAATATTCATATATTGTTCAGCTTGGACAATTAATAAACAAGCCGAAAAATATCTTGAATCCTTGTAGATGAGATTTTACAGAAAAATCTTTAGAATTCATTGCATCGCTGAGAAGAAGAGCATCCTAGATGTTTTAAAAGAGGCAAGTGCTCAAAGACAACTTATCACAAACATCAGAAAGAGACAGTCGTCATGAATTGGTCATGTTATGAGAAGAGAGTGCTGGAACATGCTGTTACTACTGGAACGATTTATAGAAAGAGAAGAGAGAGAGAGAGAGAGAGAGAGAGAGAGAGAGAGAGAGAGAGAGAGAGAGAGAAGAAGAAGAAGACAGCGCGACAAGATTCTTGACGGCCTTCTGTTATGGCATGGAAGGGTGTAGCTCACGAACTGATACAAGCAGTGCGGATGGCAGATTGTGGACAGGCGTGGTCGCCCACGCTAGTCGGCAAGGCACGTAATGATGATATATATGTGTGAGTGTGCATGTTTGTGTGTGTGTTTGTTATAATTAATTATAGTAAATTTTAGAAGAAGAACACAGCAATACATTTGGAATGTATTCACTGCATTGTTTCTATTCCTAATTATTGCATATTAAACACGTTGTGTCATCTTTAGCTGCTTGACTTCTAGTCCAATTAAAAACGAAATGAAAAAGAGAACAAGTCGCACAGACACCTAATATACACATCCACTCACTTCGCCACCCAGACCAACACTGCAACGGGCAAATCTCTGCATGTTACCTGTCTATCTTATGCTTATATACATCCTGGAGAAAGGTACTATATCTCACGAAGAAACCAGGCCTTCGACGATGTTATGTGACAATTCACTCCCACTGAACAGGCGATTTATTGAAGTAAAAGTATGTCACAAATCAGGGCTGGATTAGACAGCTTGGTAAGTGTCGTTAAATTTTATTGCAAGACGCATAGATAGGGAATGACGTGTATCCATGAGCTCACCTATCCTTAGAGATATGATTTTTGAATACCGTTGGGTACCAGTGTTTTGCGTTATATTTTTAATACCTTCTCCTGCCTGCTCCCCACCGCCCCCTGAAAAAAAAACTAAATTGAACACGGAACTAAACACAGTCTAATTCACATAAAAAACTACTTATAACGGAATGTTCACAATAAAGCGATTATACTTGGCAAACTATGTTATACTGAAGCTGATGTCTTGATAGTAGTCAGCAGAAACTTCATATAATGATGTATACAGTTGTAGAAAGTCAAATAAAAAGTGGACCACAGCTTTAAAGAAAGACCATACAATAGTCTCTCTCACATACACACATATACAGTATAGAACTGGCACTATTAGCCATCGGACGCTGGGGCTCATACTGAGGAAAGGATCTATGAACCTATGGACATGTCTGGAGTGCAATGATGATAATTCAACTAACTAACTAAATAACTAACTAACTAACTAACTAACTAACTAACTAACTAACTAACTAACTAACTAACTAACTAACTAACTAACTAACTAACTAACTAACTAACTAACTAACTAACTAACTAACTAACTAACTAACTAACTAACTAACTAACTAACTAACTAACTAACTAACACACACGCACACACAAGCGGCGCCAGATAAAGAACAATGTTTTTCATACTCTATTAGAAAAATTAATGTTCCCTGTTTTAGTATCACCTGGGTCTGCTCAGTGTCACATTACCATTTGTAGAGAATCGAGCTCATGCAGATTTAGGCGATTATGGGTTTGTACAGAGGAAGCACCAATTTTAACATTACATCAGATACTTGTATTGCGGTCCATATGTTAAAAGACACACAAGGACAAGATGCCCGGGAATTTTGACCCGGGAACACTTACTAAATGCAGCTTTGGGGAAGAAGGGAAGAAACTGAGGACGCTGGGAAAAAAACAACATACTTTTGAATTGGACATGCAGAAAATACCATACATTTTTGTAGGATTGAAAAGAAAGTTCATAGAGAGAAAGATGCCATCAAACTAGTGATCACGTGAAGAGCTCCTATTTGTTTTTAATCTTATGTGTCGGGAATTGATATGTGGTGTTACCTAGGCATTAGTGCAAGAGCTGATCAAGCAACTCACACTCAGGCGAGGTGATTGTATAAACATACGACTCTGTGGTGAGATGTAATGAGAAA